ATTAATTTGAAAAATACAATTCTTTGAGAATTTAGAGAAAAATATTTCACATTTTTTTTTTGTTCCTAGAAAGCTTTGATCTTTTGCTTCTCGCTAGAAGTTCACGCTTAAATTGAGTTTTATCTGGAAAAAAATTAGTTTTTAAAAGAATAAATTATAACTCAACATCTTCTTATGTTATGTTTGAATTTTCTTATATTAATAATAAATATTCAAACTGACGCTTTTTCTGTCACTTTGAGTTTATTTTGTACAAGTCGGCAGGAAGGACATTATTCGGGGCAACTTATTCTCACTCATTTGATTCAGTGCCGTTGTGAATATCAACTTGCGCAAGGGGTCCGTCTCGTCCGTCCCCTCTTGGCCGCAAGATGTGGCCGCTCTGATTGCGACCGCGACGATTTGGCACCCTCTGTGATCACCACTGCCCCACTAATCACCATGGAATTCACAAAAAAGTTTCGAATTTCTAAAAAAAGGAATCATTCCAAGTTGGAATTTTTGTTCCGTATCAAAAATTAAGATCAAAGCGTGTCGTGTTTCAGAAATATTGTAACAGATGTGCAGTAATCGTCGCGGGCACTCAATGCGATGCGTGCCGCTCTCTCGGGTCCATTCGAGACACAGGGTCGCCCGCATTTGTCGGAAAAACGAGTTAAGTTAAATTTTAATTCAAAAACGAAATACGTTGATACAACAAACTTATTATAGATCATATTATTTTCTCCTTTGTTTCATTATTCAACCGTTTTTTTTAATTCATTTTCCTATTTATAATAAGGTTATTTTTATAATTATTCTTATTTATTTTACCAGTTAATTGCTGCAATCACACTTGTTCACAATCAATTATTGAAAAAAACAACAACTAGTTTAGTGCAGTTGAATTTTGCGTTGAAATATTGATATCTGTTAAATTTGCAAAGGATAAAATACTAATATTTTTCTAACTCCAAGTAAACAAGCATCGCATTAAATTAAAATTAAATATTAATTTGAACAGGTTCTTTTCATATTTAAAAAATTATTTTAAATATATGACATATTATTAGTTTAATTAAATTTAAAAACACATCAGATCTTTTTAAAAATTTAAATTTACCAGAAATAATTTTTAAAGTACTGAAGTTAAATTTTTTGCAAAAACTACAGTTATATTATTTGAAAAAAATATAAAACGGCCAGACCTAACTAAAATTGCAGACGACAGACGCGTTGAAATTGTTGAAAAAGAACTTTGGATGAAGGGGGGTTGCCCGAGGAGGGTTGCTCATTATTATTTTTTGCGTCACCCTCTGGCGGCGGCGGCCGGGGGAGGCTCAGAGGAGCGACTGGTCTCTCTAGAATGCAAGCCCAATTAAAAGGCAATGTATTAACCATATGCGCCAAGTAACCACATAAACACCCTTTGTCAAGCGCATGACGCAACGCTACCTTCTGTTCAGCTCCAAATTTCAATCCGAGCACATCTCTATTTGTGTGCCAAAGCGAAACGAATGCGGTCGTCGTGCTTTTCTATTCGGAAATCGATTTTCGGTCCAAGGAAATTCAAAATAGTTGTTAAGTTTAGTGGATTCTCCCTGGAAAATATTGTTTGAGAATTTAAAAATATTTAATTTGGGTAAATGTTATAAATTTAGGACTGGGAATAAACTCATTTTTTTAATAGAGATTCATTTCAATAAATAATAAGAAATTAATTATTTAAATTCCAAGCAAAATTTTCTTTCCTTTACCAAAATTTTCAGAATTCCTAAATAAAATATTGATTAAATTCTTGGAATTCAAGTCCATACATAAAAATTACTTTCTTTTCTGTTTATAAGTTACAGAAAGCTATTTAATTTAAATGAATTTTTCTCTTCAACTGTCAAAATAACAAAGGTTGGATCCGAATATCAGAGAAACAGTTCTAGAAACGATTCTCGGGCAAGGATTCTCCAAGATCGTTTCTGCATTTAAAATAGAACTAAATAAACGATCGTGGAGAATCCTTGCGCGAGAATCTTTTCTCGAGGAACGTTTCTTCTGAATCGTTTCTCTGATATTCGGACCCACCCAAATAACTTGTTTCTAATTTATCTTTTTCTCCAATTTAAAAAAGTTTAATATTAATTAATAATTTTTAAAGAAAAAAGTGAGCATGTGATCAAAATTAATAGCGTCGTTCTTCTGGCAGAAGTTCTTCTTTAAATCCAATATAAAACTTCCATATTTTGCAAACTTTTCCTTCCAAGGGTGACCAGCATAAGTTTTGGTGTTTCCGAGAGGCCGGCGCTGGTCTTTGGATAAGAAAAAATAATAATTTTCGTTGCTAAGCCTGAGGGCAGCAATTTGGGGTTGGCTGCTGGCACAAGAGAGTGGAAGTCAATTTCTACTTTAATGAAATGATGTCACACTCTTGCCATGATGGATGTCGCGCCTCGGGCGGTTCTTGCGCTTTTGTTTTGGTCGCAGCAGTTCTTCTTCGAATGTAATCATTACACTGTAAGATTGGCTGGCCGGTCCGCAGGGATCTTCTCCTGCTAACAATCAATCGTGTAAACCCCAGAGGCTGCCGCACACCCGCCGATCAAGAACCCATCTGGGGTCTTTTCCTCTTCACAGCAATTTATCTTCGAACACCACCACCAGCTATACTCGCTCGTTTATGTAAAACTTTATGGGAAAAACGAAAGCCCATTACGATGGAGCGGCTGGCCGGCAATATTGGCGCGGCTTTTCCATTTTCCTCCTCTCCGACCCACGCCAGAAAATAAAAAGCAACAATTTCACTCACAATAGAGCAACAAACCACCACAGAAACGCGTGCCAAATACACGTCAAGAGCTTAATTTGGCGCTTAAAAGGCGATCAGTCAATCCGGGCAAATCCAAAAATTACTACAATTTCTAGAAAATCAGTCATAATTTTCTGTTTAATGAGTTACAATCTCTAACCTTTAATCGTCAATTGTTATTCGAAATTGGAGTTAATTTAGGGAAATTAAATACTAATTAATTCACAACCAATATAATTTAAAAAAAATTGTAAACTTTAGAAAAGTATTGATTTTGTGGCAGACTTCAAAGATTTCTTCATATTTAACTTACAGAATTAAAAAATTTTAAGAAAAAAAAATAATAAATTTAAGGGGGTTTCCTTTGTCGCGGTTAAAAAAGTAGCTCAAAGATAAAACATGGGATCATCATCATATGAATGCAGAGAAATTGAAAAGTGAAAGACCATGACAAAAAATTAAAAGAGTTTCAAAGGAAAAATCAAGAGAAATTAAATGTAATTCTCATTATTGAAAGCTTCCAAAGTTTTGAACTTAAATTTAAGTAATTGTTCCCATGATTTTAGAAATTAGAAGCTCAACTTTTATTTGAATGTTCAGAGCAAAAGAAAAAAGTTTTTTGTTTAAAAAAAAATGGAGAACCGATTGATGGATTGATTTTTTATCAGAATTGAGATTGGGAACGTTGGAGTTGGAATTGAATAAACAAGTCAGCAGCTTTGGCTGACAGAATGAGTGGTGGTTTGCATTTCTCGTCGCGATTTCGTTCCAATAACAAAACAAATCAATCTCGGATAAAACGTCGATGTGCGCCGAGAGCGAAAAGCTTTCGTAAACAATATTTGTAAAGTGTGCTTTTGTTTTGCTCGATCGAATTGAATTGAAATTGAAATAAATCTCTCTCGCCACTTTTGATTTATGTCGAGAGATGAAACGGCACTTTTGAGAAATCGTTTGTTTCAATTAAAAAACAAGTTCTACAAGTAATCTGCGCGAAAAAATAAGTGTCGGTCATTAGCGGGCTTTTAGCAGCCGCGCCACCATTAATAACCAAAGCGACTGATGGCAAATTGATTGAGCAGTGATGAATTGCCGCCACTCGATTTCGAGCGATGACAGACGACCCTCCTCGGTGTAAAACAACCCTCGCGCGCGCGCCAACAAATGCAAGCGGACCGTGAACGCTAAATTTGATTTGTGAGACCGGTTGACTCTTCAAACTGCAGCGTACGTGCGAAACTCCCCGGCCAAGTTTTCCAATTCAAACTCCATGAACCAAATGTGAATCGCAACCCTCTGGCTCTACATTCTTCTTTTTTTACACTTCGGGAGATTAATTTTTAACGTTATATTTGAATTGATGTTCTTTTATTAGTTAAAATCTGATTGAAAAGATACAAAAAAAACTTGTATTCAATTTGTTTTATTTATTCTATACAACTACTGTCATTGTTTTATTCTGATTGTGGAATACTTATTGAGATTGAAAACGACTTAATCTTCTACTTCTTCAAGATAAAATTCCATTTCGAGATTAATTTTTGTTTTCGCTAGTGCCTTCATTGGATTTAATAAAATTAATCTTAAAATAAGAGTGATATTAAAATACCATGCGCGTAATTATTGAAGTATAAGGACGCGCCTGTAGGTATTGTAGTTAGGCAACCTGCTTGTCGAGGAGGCCCTGCCTGGTTGCATACCTTCTCCTCTTTTGCAGGCGAAATACTACAAACAATTTTTTCTTTTGAATGAGAATTGGATTTTTGAACAAATTCCGTTGCAGTGTCGATCGGAATGTCATTAGCGCGACCTCTTAGAGAGCCTGTCTAAGTGGCTGTCAGGAAGGAAAAGGCGGAAAAACAAAACGGCCGCCGCAAATGTGGTGATCTGGAAAATTGCCAAATGGAAAACGGCGGATTGGGCATCGGCCCAACACAAGAAATGGCAAAAGATTGGCGTGCGCGTGCATTAAATCACGTTTTAAATGTTCCATAATAATCACATTAGGTGAAAACACAAAGTGTACACGCGGAGAGAGCGATAAATAAATTTGTATTGCGTGGAGGGTGGAGGGGGTGGGGGATGGAGCCGAAAGAGAGAGATAGCTGCCGGGGTGAGGGTTGAGCATGCGGTGATTTTGTTCCAAGCTGTAAATACATCTGCTGCAGCATAGGGATGCGAGACGAGCACCCCATTGGCCGCGCCCGCTCCGGCTGGTCCAACCCTCCGGTCCTTATTGGGGGTGGGTGTTGTTCGGCGGCACAGCCGGCCCTGCCGTCGTCGTCAGTGTGCTCGCACCCGCCGTCCTCGAAGCACCCAAAGCTGCCAACTGCATCTTCTCGCGCCGACCATCTGGTGAGTTCCCTTTCATTTCTGCAACCTGTCGTATCAACCACCCTCACATTGAAAAATCAAACCACCCTTAATGTTTAAATAAACATACGTCAAAAGCTTCATTTAATTTTCTATCTAACTAAGATTGCTTTAATAATTAAATAAAAATTTTTTATTATTAGTTGTTTTTGTTAAATTCCGTGAAAAATGAAAATTAATTTTTCTGATTTGCTACCAGACAAAGACTTACCCTCTCCATCTTTAAATATTCCAGAAGATTTTGTAAAATTCTTATTATTGTTGGTATTTTTTTATATTTAATTCTAAATTTGATTGGTTTGCAGGTATCAGGATGACTATGGATTTGCAGCAGCGATCCAGGGAGCCCTGCGCAGGATGCAACGACTCAGGTCGCAGACCAAACAGCCCAAGTGGCACCCTGAAGTCGGCCGCCGAAATCACTACGCCCTCTGCCGTGAAAAGGAGCTTTGACGTCGCCTTCCTCGTCTCGCCCGACATCAAAATGAACAAGAAGGAGGACTTGCAGGTCACGCACGACCTGAGCCGCAAGAGCGCTTTCACGAAGGTCGTCAATGGTAAGGAGTCACCTGAGCGGTCGCCCTTCGACTTCACCCCGAAGCACTTCCAGCAGCAGAAAGCCACCTTCCAGTCGTACGCCTTTCCTCAGTCCAACCTGATCCTGAACTCGCCGGGCAGGGACAAGCTGATCAACAGCTACCTGAGCAAGCCGCGCTCAGGGTACCCCTACTCGAGCGGCGAGAAGGACCTGCTGCACCCCCTGCTGTACCCTGCCGAGGCGTACATCTCGGCCGCCTACCCCTACTCCAACTTCATGTCTTCGCCCTCCCCTCCGCAGCCTCGCGACCTGACGCGCGCCTCCAACCCCCCCTCCTCTACCTCAGGTTCGTCGCCGGCAACGGTGGCGCCGTCTTTTCTGTCGGTGGCCGTTTCGCCGGCGGTGTCGTCGCTGCTGCCGCCGTCGCTGGCCGCCCTGAGTCTGCCGGCGCAGAACGTGTGCGCCAAGTGCAACCTGAGCTTCCGCATGACCTCCGACCTGGTGTACCACATGCGGTCGCACCACAAGCACGAGGCGGCCGACCCGTTGCGGCGCAAGCGCGAGGAGAAACTCAAGTGTCCGGTGTGCAGCGAAAGTTTCCGCGAGCGCCACCACCTGACGCGCCACATGACGGCCCACCAGGACAAGGCCGGCGACAGGGAGGACCCTGCCGACCTGCTCGTCAGCGCCGCCAAGTGACGCCAGCCGGCGGCCAAAAGGGCCACGGCCGCCCACCTCGTGCTGCAGCAGCCCTTCGGCCAGTTCCACGATTGAAATCAGACTTAAAGTGGCTTTAAGGGGGTGAGAACTTTGACAAAATTTGAAGAATTATAAAGATAATAAATTTAAATTTTAGCCCTGGTGATTCAAGTGGGTGTTTTTAGAAAAAAAAAATCATAGTCAGTTCAAATTTTTTTAACAAAATAAAATAATTCTGTTATTTTTTGTGAAAACTGATAGAATGTTTGCGCGAATCTACCCCTTTTAAAGCCACGAAGATTATCTTAAATTTAGGAAACGTTGTTGAATTGTATCTAATCCTCAGTCGGGGCCCAAAATAACAATTGAGAAATGTTAAATAAATTGCATTCGCCCGTGAAAAATGTATAATGTTAGGCCTAAATTGGACGAGATAAGCATGTACTTGTGTTATATATACCCACGCGACATTGTTAAGCTGTGCACGCTGAATTTTCTCTCCTTATCAAGACCAAGCTAATTAGTTGATGATGTACTTTGTTACTCGCTGGTATGTTTGGCTAATCAAATACTACACGCGGTAGATTTAGAGAGATGAAATCTTGCACGCAGACCTCTCACCTTATCGCCGGGCTAAGTGCATGTGAGATGAATATTAAGTGCGCCGTGTGTAACCTCTGAGCAAATTAACTTTCCCCTCGGCCCCCAAACCATTATCACGCTCTCCATCATATTCCGTCGGCCACTCGACTATACCATCAGTGTTTGACGTGCAGCTCTAGTCCGTTACGTATATTTGTGTTCAATGTGATCTTAAGATAATTGATTTCGAGCGAATAATAAGTTACATAAAATATGATTGTGATTTAGTAAATAATTTGAGATCTATGAATACGAAATAAATCTAGCACACTACGAAACCACAAACTTTGTTTGCCTTTTTGATGAATTTCCTGCTTTCATTGGAGATTACAACACAGGGAAATATAATTTAGTGCAGCAACAAAAGGGGGAAGAAGAGAGCTGAAGGGGTATTAATGCAAATATGCGCGTGTTTCTGCCTGGTAATTAAACGCGGGCGGAGATTTAGTATTATTTCATCGATCTGCTCTCATCGGGGCCGCTTGCTGCTGTGTGTTAGTTCCGCACTTGTGCCTCCATTGTTTTAACACACGCACACACAAAACCGATTGAAGTTAAATGGAGCGCGAGACGAAGATAGCGGGTGCGTGTATATGAACGTGTTTTTCTTCTCATGCAAATTGAAACAATGTGCTCTCATTCCAAAAAGCGAGTTCATATAGCAGAGCCGCCGCGATTACGCCCGGCAATAAATCACACAGCGGGAAAAAGTAAAGCGCCAGCTGATTGCGATATTACTCTCCTTCAACCGTAATCCGATCGGAAAACAAAAAAAAGGAGCCGCACGCCGATGTACCGCAGATTCTTTTCCGAATACCAAGTATAAAAAAAAGTAGTGTGTTTTTTTTTCTGCGCAGGGAGAGGCTGATATTTCTCGCGCGCGCGTTGATAACAAGTAAATATAGGAAAGTGCAATCTTCATAAAATGCTATTTGGAAGATGAAAGCCGCCCTTGGGGTGTCGTTCGACGGCCCTTTTTGCTGAAATGCGATTCTGAAAGACTGCTCCCATCTTTTTATAAATACGTATTTACTTGAGTGTAAAAAGGAAAGCAAATAATCAAAATGTGTTTTGGAAGAGGGGAAATACGAGTTTCATTCTAATTTTTTTTAATTCTCATGGCTTAAATTGGTAATTTCAATATTAAGTTTTCATTTTATTTGCAGATGAAGTAAAAAATCACATAATTTTTTTAAATCAATTAAATTGTTCATATATTTCCATCTTCTCTTACACAAAAATTCAAAATCTTAAATTCATTGAATCAAAATATACTAACTTTTTTTTAAATTTTCGCTCAAAAAAATTTATCTTTCAACATTTAAATTCTGAACATTGTAATTCTTTTGGTAGAAATGTTTTTGGACAAAATAGTTTTTGAGACTTCCAAATCTAAAAATTCTTTTACTTTAACAAAACTAATTATTTATTCGCAGCCGAATCAGTAGTGAAAAAGATTATGTAAAAACCGACGTGATTTTCCTTTCATTGTGTGTTTTGCGCGTTGTTCCCAGAGAGAGAGGAACAAACTTTGAACAACAAATCAAACACTTCCGTCTGAATGGAGCGTGAAAGAGTGAAAAGCACACTCGAGAGTCGTGACGAGTCAATCTGCGCTCGGAAGGGGCGTCACGCTAATTCTGTCCGCGCGCGCACCTTGACTAACAAGAGCCGCTTGCCAACTTTCCCATGCCGAGACTGTCATATTTATTATCATCATTTTTTTAGCTCATCCCCAGCTCGCTCTCTCTCTCTCTTTAGGAATAATAATTTATATAAGAGGGATAATTCGGCACGCTGCAGAATATCACTTAGGACGCGCGCATAATAAAATAACTGTCCCCCGTTGTCGCTGGGGAGGGTGCGGGGGGGATTCTGATACATATCAAATTGAAAGAATTTGTCACGCGTGCAAGCATGACTACCGCGCGCCCTTCTTGCTGTATCTCATTTGCTCTCTCGCACACTTTTTCACGCGCTAAGAAGATTATGTTTTATTTCACTCCGGCGGCGGCGGCGGCGAATGAAATACACACGCGGCGGCAAACACGTTAATTAATCTCCACCGAGCTTCAATTTGCCACCACCAAAATTATAATTGGTTGCACTTCAAGACTCAAAACGAGCAAGACCACATTTCTGAATCGGAAAAGGTAAAAAATCTTCCCTTTTCCAGTAGAAATATGTAAAATTTATTTAGTTTTAAATTTCAGTTAAATTTTTTTAGCAAAATTATAATAAAAAAGTCATTTTTTTCATGAAAAGTTCAGTCTAAAAGCTTTATTTTATTTTTACCTTAAAATAGCAATTGCACATAATTATTTCAATAGAAGATAAAAAGGACATTTTTTTTTTAAGATTTTATATTTCCCTTTGCTTTCCATATTTCCAATGATTTTTGTGGAAATTTTTTAAACAACAATATTGTCAAACAGTAATATTTAAACTCTGCTAAAGATATAAAAAAAGTCTCAAAGTAATCCAGAGAAGGAAAAAAAATCTCTAAAAAGCATTTTCTTCCTGAAAACATCCAGAAAAGTCGCTTTTAATTCAACACATTCTGTATCTGAAATCTGAATGTCACAATTTGCAAAGATCCATTGTCATATAATTCATATTTGATGGAATTTAGAAGAATCTGAAAGTCTTTATCACGCAATCTTGTAGTGAAACATACAAGATTTTTTTTTTCGTTTTAAAAATTTGTTCAAATTTGAAAGATTTATTTGAGAATGGGAAATAACATCCTTTTCATGGCTTGCAATGAAATCCTCAAATTTCAACGCATAGAATTTCCCTTTAGAATTTATTTGAACTGCTCCGGAATGAATTAATTTTGAGTAGAATAAAATATGGCGAGGGAGCGCAACTAAATATGGCAGTCGCGGGCGAGCATAAGGGGTGCTTTTGTTGCAGGGCTGGTCCGCGCGCGGTCGGGGCTGCAGGAAGCGGATGCGGTGTCCGGCGAGCGAGTTGTTTCGCGCAGGATGTCGCAAGTGCGCGCGGTGCAAACACAAAATAAAGCGGAATGCAAATCAGCGCGCGCGCGGCTGCATTATCGGTGGAAATATTGCCGGAAGCGAAAACTCGCGCATCAATTTTCCAGCCGTGCTTCCGTTTCGTTCGCTGATTTTCCTGTCGCCGGCAAAATAAACTGCCGCGCTTCGACATGCATAATGTCGTCCCTGTATATGTTTGTATTTGGAATTAATGTACATGCCAGAGAGCAAAACTCGCCGCGAGCTTCCTCCTTTCGAAACGCGCCAACCGCGCAGTGAGTTTGCAATAAAGCAGCAGGAAAAGGGAGGTTTAAAAAAAATGAGAAAGAGCAAATAAGCACAGAGACCAAATGTGCCGATTGATGAGTTGGAAAAGAATCAAAATTTAAGTTTAAGAAATAATTATGGCTGAGGAATTTTTTTTCAAATAAGAAATTAGGATTTTACTTCAGCGTCGAAATTGAATTATTTTGTCACTCTGCACAAGTGTTGTGAAATTTCACCACATCAGCGGAATGTTGAGGAAAATTTTATTTCACGTTTAGCAGCGAAAAAAATTTTTTCTCGGTGGCCTGTGGCCCCCGGAAAAATCCGGGCCACACAGGCACTAAATCCGCCACTGTCTATATGCCAAATTTGAAAAAAACAGTCGTAAAAAGTATGAACCAAAGTAATTATTGACATTAAAATGATCCCCAAAAGCAGCAAATAGGAGGTGAGTTAATGATGAGAAAACGACTCTCCATGACAAATTTAACTAGTACGTAGAGCCTAAACCTTTTTGGCTTCAAATCAGTTCCTCTTGACAAGACCTTTTTCTATCTGGATGTTTTTTTTATGTGTTTGAGCAAATTTTGAAGGCGGTGGGGGAATCTTTTGGATTCATGAGATTACTTACTTAATTCATTTAATCGTTGTTTAATTAACTAATTTCACTGTGACCTTGACCTTTTTGGTCACCAATCGATGCTTCCAATTTTTCGTATGGTTACAACGCTATAAAAATGAAAAATTTAAATGATAATTTAATTGTGAGATGATTTCATGCCATTATTAGAATCAAAAAACACTTTGTTTTTGAAGATCATTTTCTGAAATCTTTAATTTTCCTTATTATGAAGGAGTTTAATTACTTAAAATTATTTTATGTTACCAACCCAAGTTTTTGAAAACACTTTAATTTAAATTAATATTTGATGTTGCTATTGATCACGCAGCAAGAATTTGGAATAATACTTTTTATTTAAAAATAGTCATCCTTTACGATGTTAATGCCTGATTGATTTTTATTTCAATTGAAGGAAAGTGCGTCAAGATTTGAATTCGCTCACGAAACTTAGTTATCAGGGGCGAACAATTAATGCGGGCGGCGTTCGCGGTCGCGACGTGTGCTGGTAATAAAATTAATTTATTCTCAGCAGATACCGCGAGAAAGAGTAATAATTTGCGCCTTGCTTCCTTCCACGGAGATCACGCGGGCGTTATCTCTCAATTATTTCTATCTCTGTCGCGCCAACTCGGCACGTGTGAGAGACTTTGAGAGAGATAATAATGGAGAGAGAGAGAGACGCAAGCAAAACTTGCTCTCGTTTTTCAAATCAATGCGCGGGGGAGAAAAGTTTTATCTTTTTGAATATCCAATGAGCCTCGGTCGTTATTATTACTTTATTGGGGGCCAATAAATTACTCGAGAGAGCCGCTTTTTGCGGCCGGGTGTGTCAATCGCCATAAATCGGGCCCATATTTTGCGCCGACCCAGCAGCTGAACCGCAAATTGCACTTGGCGCCGACAACCCTGAACAATTTCCTCTTTTGATTGGCAATTCGCAATCTTAGAAGTTGTTGTCAAAAAGCATAAAGAGCCTCTGAAGTCTGATTATGCATCATTTGAATGTGATAAAAAAAATGCTAAAAAATTGGTGCTTTTTTTAATATAAACATGTTGTTGGCTGATTGCATCTTGTCCAGAATGGGCTTCATGACTACAACAATAGTGTGTTGTAATTCATTTCCAAACACACAAAAAACCTCATAATCGAAAATTTGAATGAATTTGGTATAGAAATTAATATTAATTGATAATTGCTTTTAAATAATATACAAACAATAAATTAATGAAACTTTTAACGTGCCAAGTTCCTATAGTCTCTATTATATTTTCAAAATATAAAATATTTATAGCATTT